TAGCGCTCTCTCTCTCTCTCTCTCTCTCTCTCTCTCTCTCTGTGTGTGTGTGTGTGTGTGTGTGTGTGTGTGTGTGTGTGTGCACTAGTGTCTCTTTCTAAACCTGACCCACATGTCTGAAGCCCATCTCTGGGCGGGGAAGGACAGAGACAAAGTTTCCAAAGCTTGAGAGAGAGAGAGAGAGAGAGAGAGAGAGAGCGCTAGGGTCCTTTCTACAATAACACCACTCTGGCAACCCCTGACCTGCCAGGCTATGGAAAAGAAGATGAAAGGCCAGAGTCCATCCCCTTGTCTTCTGGTCAGAAAGAAGGCAGGGCCCCTTCCTAGAGAGCTCAGCCGAGCATGGTGGTATGAGCAGGAGACAGAAGGAGCAGTCCAGACAGACTGACTGTAGAGAGAATATCCTGTGTATGGCATGGATGTATCACCTGCCAATTAAAAAGCCTATGGCCTATGGCTTAGGCAGGAAATAGAAGGTGGGACATCTGGAAGGCAGAAAGGATTCTGGGAAAGAGCAGGGCATGGGAAGACGTGAGGAGATGAACAGAGGGTACCTGAGCACAGGTAACCAGGCAGGTGATAAAATGCAGATTAAAATGAATGGGTTATCTTGTTGTAATTCTAGTCAAAGAAGAGCCTAGATATATGGACAAGGCATTCGTAAATATATTTTAAGTCTGAGTCTTATTTCTGAGAGCATGGGGCTGGGAGAAAGAACCAGCTGTAACGTCAACAAACCACCTCACAAAGCTTGCAAAGCAGGGTCCTTTGAAAGGGTGGGCAAAGTCATCCTGGGCCCATCTCCTACCAACATCTGTTACATCAGGTCTCTCGGCTTTTTTTTTTTTTTTCCACTTCAAGTGTTGTTTTTGGCTGAGGAGAACAATCTTTCATAAGCCTCTCTGGTCACTTCCTTTGCTCTTTGGTGGCATAGCACCAGGCTCCTATCACCAGAATACAGGACCAGCCCCCATGAGCAAACTTCCTGAGGGCAGAGCTGCTCACGCTACTAGGGTGGACCCCATCTGCCACTCACCAACCCTGAGATAACAGAGGCATCCAGGGGGCACCCGAGGACAGAGCCTGGAGTGCTTTTAAGACTTGAAAGAAGCAGGCAGCTAGAATGCTGTTCAGAGGCAGAGAGGTCAGATCTTCACATTGTACTTCCAGGTAAATAATAAGAGTGGCTCGGGTACAGTTTTCACAGGGTGGTGTTCTACTTCTCCTGGCAGGGAAGGGACAAGTGAAGGCTAGTTATGAAACCAGCCCTGGGCTTTCCTCTGTCCAAGGAGCTCATCTGTGTCCACACAGATAAAGATGTTCGGTCAGGTTCTCTCTTAGCCACAGCGCAGAGCTTCCCCAAATCCCAAATGCATCCCTCGGTGCCTGCAACTACAGCGAACACAGAAGCTATCTGCAGGCATGCACATGCCTCTTTGCCTGCCTCACCCCAAATCAGAAGGAACTCCAAGTCTGACTTCTCCGAAACACTGTCCCTGAACCATCTGTGGGTCCGTGCACTCCTCTGCAGCCCAGCTTCAGGAGCAGCAGCCAAGACCCACTCTTCCCCAGTCACCCCCGTCTCCTTCCCCCTAACCACAGTGGTGTGGCCCCTGCCACGCAATACCCAAAAGCTGCATCAGCCAATACAATTGCCGACCTTCGGCATCACCTCTGCCAGGACATACCCACCTGGCCCTCTTGGCTGAATGCGACACCAGCGTTGCCCCTGAACACATCGCCCTGCTTTGTTATCCTACTGGCCCTGATCACCATCTGGAATTTTTTTTTTTTAAAGACTGTCCTAATTTGCTTTCCCTGTTGCTGCGATAAACACCATGACCAACAGGAACAGGAGGAGAAAGGGGTTTATTTTGACTTACAATTTATGGTCCATTATCAAGGAAAGCTAAAGCAGGAGCTTGAACCAGAAACCATCAAGGGTCACCACCTATCAACTTCTCCCTCTGACTTGCTCAACTAAACTTTCACATTCAGACCAGGCCCACCTGCCTTAGGAATGACACCGCCCACAGTGGGCCAGGCCCTCCTACGTCAATTAGCAATCAAGAAAATGTCTCACAGGCCAATCAGATGGAACCAATTCTTCCACTGAGGCTCTCTCTTCCCCGGTGTGTCAAGCTGACAACCAAGTTCACCACCGCAAAGCTCCTAGTTCTTCACCGCAAAGCTCCTAGTTCTTCACCCATAAAGTAGGTTAATAGCAGTACACACACCATGGAGTTGCTTACAGGATTAGTGGTCAATTCATCCTGTGAGTCCAAGACACGAGTAGAACTCAGAAGCATTGAGTTTAATGAAAGAACTCAGAAATTACAATGCATATGGTCTAACTCCACTTATATGGAATCCAAGAACAGGCAAAAGTGACCTGTGGTGACAGAAACCACAATAGATGCCTGTTGGGAGAAAGATGCATTTAGAACATAGGAAGGCTGGTAGATGAAGCACTCGTCACGTCACGTAAGTCACGTGAGACTGATTCTCAGGGGACTTGAGACTGATTCTCAGAACCCACATAAAGGTAGAAGGACAGACTCCAACGTTGTCCTAATGTGCGCCTCTCCAAGACAATAACAACGAGAAATAACTTTTAACAGCATAAGGAAATGTGCAGGGTGGCAGAATGTACTTTGCCTTGATGGTGGTGTAGCTTGCATGGGTATGCACACCAGTCAAAAGTCATTGAGACGCATGCTCGAACCGGTACATTTTGCTGTATACAAATTATAATCCAAGAAAGAAAGAAAACACACAATGAATGTAGTCATGCACTGCATGACGGTGAAGACAGACCACACGTATGATGGCATCATATAGTAGGGTCATAGCTGCTTTAGCTTGTTGTAAGTACATACGGTTAGACTCAGTCATGATGAAATCACATACTGAAGCACCCCTCTGAATGCATGCTTGTGACTAAGCACAGGACTGTCAATAAAATCTTTACGTAGTGCCTGGTGCATGGGAGGTGCTCATCAAGGTGACCTGTGTCATCATCTATTTGTATGTGGCTCACTGGCTAGAATCAAAGACCCAGGACCAGGTCTGCCATGGTTGGTCTCTGTCCAGTCCCTAGCATCCCACATGCACAGTTTCGTGTCAACAGAGCCGTGTATGTAAGCAGAGAGAGTGGGGCATGGACTTCTGTGATGGTGGCATCTCCATCCTCCTCTGAAGCTCACTTGGGCTCATTGTTGGGCTCCTCACTACCTCACCCATGTGCAGTCTTCCTGGACTCACATGGTTCCACCTCACCAGACTCGACCTCCTGCTCCATGCTGGAGTCTGGGGTCTCTTGTCCACAGTGACTTCACTTCACTTAACATTTGTACCCACGGAGCAGAGAGATGAACAGAAACTCCATTGTGTTTGGAGCTCACAGGGGAAGAAAGATGAGGTCCTAGCACTGAGAGGGGGCGTGAGCTTCATCTCTCACCCTTACTCAGAAGCTATCTCACTCCTTGTAAAGGAAAACTTAGTTTTTCCCAACGGGGTCTCTGTGAGTATGTAAACCACACGTGAGGGCAGGCCTCATGCCCACAGTAGATGACAACACAAAATCAACTCGATAGGATTTCCAGAGGCTTGGTTTTTTTTTTTGTTTTGTTTTGGTTTGGTTTTGGTTTTGGGGTTGTGGTTTTTGTTTGTTTGTTTGTTTGTTTTTGTCTCTTTGAGCTCTTTTTCTTTTTAATTTTTCACTTATCTATTATGGTTTCCGATTTTTTGAGTTTTCTTTTTTCTTAAATATTGGGTATGTTTTCTTTTTGTTTATTTTGTTTTGTTTTAATTTCTCTGTTTTCTAAGGAGAGGAAGAGAAAGAAGGCCTGGGTTGGATGGATGGGGAGGCTCCTTCTCTGGAAGGAGATGAGAGAGCAGAAACAGTGTATAAAAGAGAATTTATTTTCAATTAAAAACTGATAAAGCTTAAGGGACAACCAACGCCTTTAGTCCAGCACTTGGGAGGCAGAGGCTGTGGATCTCTGTGAGTTTGAGGCCAGCCTGCTCTACAGAGTGAGTTCCAGAACAGCCAGGTTTGAACAGAGAAAGCTTGACTTGAAAAAACAAAGGCAAATATGTGCTTGGGGTATCAAGATAGCCAACTGCACCGAAAGAAACCAGGGCACATGTCTTCTCTAAGAGGGACCCTGAGAATCACAAGGAGCTGTCAGGTCACTGTGAGGGGAGTACAAACCTCACAGGCTCCCTCACCACAGCCCTCCACTGTGACCTTGCCCAAGAGGAAAGCTCCATGCCAGAGAATAGGGAGGAAAAGAGTGGAAACTGAGTCATGAGAGTGATAATTTAAGGAACCAGGGAGGTTTGACTTTAGCATCTGGGGAATACATTGTTATCTCCGATACTGTAGGGCTTCTATGTAGATGATACAAAACCAGGAAGCAGAATGTTAGAAAGTCAAATTCAACCATATCCACATAAGACCAGCTCTTCTTTATGCCTGGCTCTGTCTCACAGTTACACGTTACCAACGCACAGCTTTTGAGAAATATTCCTGTTATTGTCTTTGGCAGAGGAAAATCCTGGAACAGAGGGGTCAAAGGGCTTGCCCAAGAAGCTCCTCCTAGAAGGGCAGAAGCAGGGCTTGAACCCATGCCACCTGCAACCGTGCCACACCCAGATTCAAGGTTATTCTGGCTGGCACTTTGACAATTCAAAGTTTAGAGCTGTCTAGCGGTCAGCTGGTTCTTTCCTATGGGGTACGTCATTCAAGAGGAGAGAGTGTCCCTCCAGGGAGGCTTGGAGAAGGCGAAGCTAAATTCAAAGCATCTGTAGTGGAGGGCTATACAGGCTCTGGACCCCTTCCAGCTGGAAGACCATAGCAGTTTATTTTAGAACATTCTGCCATCGGGTTATTAACAAAACTGTTGGCTCCCACTCCAAAGTAAAATTCTGCTTCCTCTGACTCACACGGGCCGAAATACATAAGATGGTACATGGGTAGACACTGTGCTCTGTGGGCTTTTAGCAAGTCCTGGGCCCAGGCACATGTCCCTCACCTCTGCTGTGCTAGTGAACAGACAGGAGGCTCCTGGTCCCTGCGGTTGAGGACTAACTGAGTGATGATCCTGGTTATAAAGATAAAAACCTAGGCTAGACAGGGTTTTCCAGAGCTTTGAGTGTCTGGTGCTTATAGGAAACAAGAATGTTTATATAGTATCTCGACAAAGGGGGATGTTCATGAGCAACAGCAAACAAGCCTTGGATTAGGGTTTGGGCCACCCCAAACCTTGTCAAGATGTCCCAGAAAAGTCTCAGCTCCCTATAAGCTAGTCAAGGCCCACACTATGGTAAAGAATATGACAGAGAGAACAAAAGGAGCATTCCTGTGTGTGCAGAACCTTCAGCCTTGAAGGAGTAGGACAAAAGAAAGAGCCAACTGATAGGATCTGTCCCAGGCCTCCCCAGCAAAACTCCAGCTGTTGTTACTCATGAAGAACATGGCCCCTCGAGCAAGAGCCAGACATCTCACCTGAGGAGAACCACGCTGTCGGACAGGAAGGCTCCGATGGTGACATCTGAGAACAAGAATTCACAGACTCAGAACCTTGTGGAAACTAGCCCCAGCTGCCCTTTGGCACGGCGCCACAGTGACAGAGGCCCAGCCTTGTGGTCAGGGAGCCTTCCTACTGCTGCTGTCTGGCTGTGTAATGACTTTGTAAGAATTACAGCCACATTGTCTTAAGTGGCAGCCAACCACATGTTGGTACGGAGGCCTGGAAATGGAGCTGGATGTGTAAAATGCATCGCAGATTTTGAAGACCTAATTTTTAAAAATTAACTCATTAATAACTTTTATATTAGCTATACATTAGAATGATAAATGTTGGCTACATTGGACTACACGTCATGAAGATTAACTTCCTCTTGTTTGTGAATATTTTTCTGTAGTTACTAGCATAAACTATTATATATAAATATATCACCAAGCAATGATTAGCTTTAATCATTAAGCAACAGCAGATATTATTTTATTGGAATATATAGTTTACTGTGATCTGTGTTTGGTGGATAACTTTCTAGTGACTTGAAAGCAGATCTTTTGCCAAGAACTTGGGTTTTCTTAGCAAGACTTTGTACAGATGCATTTCTTATCGTGGCCAAAGCCTTTAAAAGTCAGCTACCATGCATAAGTGAGAACGGCCGTTAACTAAACCGAAAGGCTATCTTATCTCACACACCTATCTTCATTCATCCGGCATGGTTTTGAGAAAGACAGCTTACCAGGATAGCCATTACCATCCATATCAATGCCCCCTGATATGGACTGTCCAAACATCCGCAGGGTCGGGTTTATCTTCTTCCCAGACAGCTTCTGAAACAGACAATAGAAACAGGGAGTCACAGGAGGGCAGTTAGGACCTGAGACTGTTGGAACCCAGCTTCCTCAGCGCACTCGGTCTGAAGTAGTCACTAAAAGAGAAACCATGGGTAGAATGTGGCAGAGTGTCTGTGGTAGGTTCCTGAAGATCATACATTCCTTACTCTTGCTTGCCTCGGCCAGACATCCTCATCAAAAAATTTGCCTGGGTGTGGTGTCAACAAAATGTCTACTAACACTTGATTTTAAAGACATTTTTTTACATTTATTTATTTGTGTACATGGCTGCAGTACACATGTGGAGGGCAGAAGATGATCTGAAAGAACTGGTTCTCTTCTTCACTGTGCGGGTCCCGGGAATTAACTGTAGGTTATCAGGCTTGGCAGCAAATGTCTGTAACTACTGGACCATCTTACTGGCTCATGTATGGTTTTGACATGTTCAAGACAAATAAAGGCTGGGTTTATTTTCTCTCTCTCTCTGTGTGTGTGTGTGTGTGTGTGTGTGTGTGTGTGTGTCTGTGTCTCTGTCTGTGTGTGGAGGTTAGGAGACAATCTTGTGTAGATCCTCAGGTGCTATTTACCATTTTTGATTTTGTTTTTTTGTTTGCTTTTTTGTTTTTTTTTTAAAGGCAGGGTCTCTCAATATTTAGTCCAACTGACCAACATGCCCAGTGATCCTACTGACCCTGGGTTGCAAGGCAGTCAGGTACTTCATTGACTGAACCATCTCCCTCGCCGTTTACGTCTCCTTTGCTTTAACCCAAGCACAGCTGCTTGAGATGCTGGGAGCATCCGTCCCTCCTATCTGTTATTTATGTATTAACTACTGCATTTGCCTCCCCTAAGATGGACAGGTCACTAATGTATCCAGTTGGAAAGACAGACATCCATGTGGTGACTCCCCCTGCCCCCTTGCCAGTGAACCAGGAGGTCTACGGACTCCTGAGCTTCATAGAAATTACAGAGAAGTTTGACCTGGTAAATCTATAACTGCATGGTGCTGAGCCTCCTGGAAAGTACAGGGAGGGAGTCAGCCATTTCTTCTGAAAGGCATTCTTCAACCCACGTGTTACATTCTTAACTCTGCTACCATGTCACATTTTATACACTTCATCATGACACATGGCCTAATCAGGAATATTTGTTGGGCCTGGGGCACCTGGTAAAGCACTTGGCTTGCAAGCACAAGAACCTGCTCTGGCTCCAGCATCAACATAAAAAGCCAGATATGGTGGAATGAACTTAACAATCCCAGTGCCTCGAGCCAGGGACAGGGGTGTCCCCCTCTTTAATCAGGGGACTCCGGGTTGTGGACAGTGTAGATGAGAATGTGGCCTGGCATTGTCCTCTAGCTTCATACACACATGTATACACACACACACACACACACACACACACACACACACACACACATTTTAATAAAGAATGCAGGGCTGGAGTGGTCGCCCAATAGTTAGAGCACAGTGCTCTCCCGGAGGCTCTGAGTTTGGTTTCCAGCCCCGACATATGGAGGCAACTGCCTGCTGATTCCAGTTCTGTTGGATCCAGCACCCTCTTCTGCCTCCTCAGTGACTGTGCTTGTTGAACAGGCCCCCACACAGACATACACAAACACACATAGTTACAAATAAAAGGATACTTTTAACAAAAGAATACTTGTCATGCCACTAGCCCGCCTCCCACCAAAGCCATCCAGTCACATGCCCGCAGTAAGGTTCCTTTTAAAGACACCAAATTTCTTGAGCCATAAAGTCTCATTTTCTGAGATCTGATCAATTCTGCCCTTTCTTCTGTCCACCATGTCCTAGTTAGCTCTTTGTCTCCATGATAAGACAAAAATAGAAACAAAGACAAACAAAGATAAAAACATTGAACAAAAGCAGCCCAGGGAGGAAAGGGTTTACTTCCGTTTACAGATTATAATCCATCACAGAGAGAAGTCAAGGCAGGGGCTTGAAGCAGAAATCATTGAGGATCACCGCTTATCAGCTTTCTCTTTAGCTTGCTCCACTAGCTTTGTTATACAGACCAGGCCCATCTACTAGGGATGGCACCGCCCACAGTGGGCTGGCCCCTCCTACATTACCTAGCAACTTAGAAAATGACACATGGATGTGCCTATGGGTCAATCTAAAGGAGGCAATTCTTCAGCTGAGTTTCTCTCTTCCCTGGTGATTGTAGATTTGTGTCAAGTTGATACCTGAAGCAAACTATCGTGTAGTGAAGCCCAAAACAGAAAACCATGTTCACAGACATCCAGGGGGCTCACGCTGCCTTCCTTTCTCTATGCTTTTACTGAGTCATACTGTGGGGAAGCCCTGGTGGGGCTGGGGGCGTGTCCACAGGCTCTGCTGGAGAGATAGGATATCCCCTGCCCTCAGCAGCTGATAACTACAAGGAAGTGTCCCAGAGATGATCTAAGAAGGAGGCTTGCCATCTTCTGTTAAGGCATCCGACAGGAAATGTGTGAGCATCAAAGGACAGCTCAGAGCCCTGTAGGCAGTACTGCAGAAACACTGCTTGTTAACAGGCTCAGCCACACATCCCACATGGCTCTGTCTAAACAAATGTGTGTGTATCTGAGTTAAAACCCACACTTTGAAGCTACACATCTCTGCTCTGGAGGCCAAGAACATTGGAAGCAGCTTGCTGTGGGTTCTCGTTTCTTGGGTATGCTGTGGCTGGGACTGGGGGGGGGTGGTCCATTTGGGGGTGTGGCAATGCAGGCTTAAGTTATCCGCTGACATCTGCAGGCCATTATGCTATAAGGCCAGGAAGATAAGTCTGCATGGTGCTAATAACTGTAAATGGAAACCAGGAACTGTGGGAAACCTCCGGTTGACCAGGTTTATATGCAGCGTCTGTTAGGGCAAGGGAAAGATCACAGGGGCCGCCACGATATGCCTGGGGGCTCTCGGATTGAGAAAGGCATCTAAGGATCTTAAAATCAACACTTTTCATGGTAACCTCGAGGAGGCAAGGAGGCGGCACAAGTTAGAGAGGAACGTGGGAGGAGTCCAGGCTCTGATCTCACCGTTTCTTCAGCAGAAATAATACTAGGGGCCAAAGAAAAGCGATCTCATTGCCTAGATTCACTTCTGATTTCTTCCTCCAGTTCTTAAACACAATGCCCTCTCTGTCCAGGATCCAGGCCCGGAAGAACCTGTCATTAAAGGATTGTTTTCCCCTTTTAAATCATTGGCCTTATCATATACATATTAGCAAGCTTAGAAAAGTATAATCATGGTTGTTTCTCTCTTGTGAGTTCTCTCTCCACCCTCTTTATTTAAAGAGCTCCAAACCGCTTCTCTCTGTGAAGGCTAAGCAAGCCAGGGTGCGTGCTGACAAAGGCGCTGTTTCCAGCTGCCAATCGTGGCTTCCCACTAGACGCTCCACACTAACCACAAATGTGCACTGCAGCTTTCTGCAAGGATTCCACCCAGCAACCAAACAAAACACTGGAGAGCCACGCCAGGGGGGAAGCAGGGGCTCCTGCAGGTGGCCTCTCTGTGTGATTAGCTTCCAAGGTCCAGGCACAAGCTTCCAGAAGGATGTGTGGAGAATGACCCTCCCCCTTCACCCCCAACTTGAGGATGGGCTCTTTAGATGACATCATGGGGACAGAGAACCCCTGATCCAAACCATGCAGGTCACACTCTGTGTTTCCAGCTTCTAATGAAGCTGACTGAATCACCTATAGTTTGTTGTTTCCATGGTTACTTATATCTAACGACAAAAGAGCAGTCTGTGTGAATGGATACCCCAGGAAGTGTGTGTACTTCGAAGCAACACAAGTCTCCTTATCTGTAGGTTTCCCCATGGAACTTCCTTGGGCGGGCCTTTTTCTAAAAAGCAGTAGAGGAAGGTGGCTACTCAAGGCAAATTCAATACCCTCCACGGGGCTCATCAGAAAGCCAATGGCTAATAAGTTTATCCAGCTCACTCAGTTGTTACAAGGATTCAGGATGGAGAAATGAGAGGCTCTCTGGCAATAGCTCCTCCACCTCTCTGGGAATCTCCCTAAGGATCGTTCTTTTAGTTGAGTTCAAGCACTGACTAAGCAGGTGTAGGCAGAGAGAAAGAGCCTGGCCTAGTGGTTAGCAAGGCCTCACCATCTAACTCAGATTTGCTGCAAGGACTGTCATACATGTGGGTACTGTGCCTCCAGGGCTGGGGAGATGGTCTATGGGCAAGACACTTACTGCAGAACATGAGGACCCAAGTTGAAATACTCAGTGGCCACACAGAAAGCCAGGCATATCACATGAGCCTGGATAGGGACCCAGACAGGAAGATTGCTGGGCCTTGAAAGGCACCAGCCTAGCTGTAGTGTCTCCAGGGAAGGAAGGGGAGAGTGATAGACCAAGGGTATCTCACACCCTCCTCCAACCCGTGTATATCACACATGTGTATATATTCCAAACACGTAATACTACATAAACACACGTGTGTACACACACACATTCACACATGTATACACACATAAATAAATAAATAAATAAATAAATAAATAAATAAATAAATGTGAAAGAGTTTGCAGCTCCATTTATACATGCCTCCTAAAATACAAACTTTGGCTCACAAAGCCCAGTGGGCAGAGCAAGTTCAAGATGACCCCTGCCTGGTGCCACTCTGCATGGATTGGGCTAGCCAAGGGCACATGGGAGAGCTGACCCTGGTAGTGTGAGTGTGGGTAAGCCTGCCCCAAGGGCATGAGAACTGGCCCTGCCCGTTGCGGGCTGTGGCATTGGGTGAGCCAGCCTGAGGGGCATGAGTGCAGGAGAGCTGACTCTGGTGCTGTTGATGTGGGACAGATGACAGGGTTGAGAGACTCTGACATCACCTAAGCCCAGATTCAGGGCTTTGAGTTAGTCCACCCCAACATCTACCCCATCTATGAACTGCTGAAGATCCAACACCGCAGGATCTCCATGACACAGGACAACAACAGAATATCCAAGAGGAATCCTGGTGAGGATCTGTACTGATCTGTAGCAGAAGCCAGAGGCCTGAACCAGACCAACGACTTACTGCAACGGACATTTGCAAGTCAAGTTGTGCGGACAAACGGTATCCTGCAGACCGCATGTGACACACTGCAGCGTCGACAACAGAACTTTTTTCCTGTTTTGACGGGAAGGTTGCAAGAGCAGAGGGTAGAAACACAGGGATGGGGAGATGAGTAGGATGGGGGTGAAGATCTTAAATTAAAAACTAAAACAAATAAATAAATAAAATTTAAAAACTACAAACCTCGGGCTGGAAAGATAGTTCAACCATAAAGATACAAATCTATAGGTATAGGTGTGAACGGGAAGTACTCAACGCACAAGTCCAATTACAAATATTTGCTGACTAAGAAGGGTTTTTTTTTGTGTGTGTTTGTTTGTTTTGAGTTTACTGATGAGGATTTTATAGCCCAGGCTGGCCTCAAACTTGCTGAGGATAACCTTAAACTTCTGATCTTCCTGCTTCTGCCTCCTGAGCGCTGGGATTTCAGACATGTGACACCATGCATGGTTCGTGGGGTGCTGAGCGTGGAACCTGGGACCTTGTACATGCTTAGCTAGCACTCCACCAACTGGCTGCAGAGTTCTTATCGCGTGTTCTTTTCTGTCACTGACCCACTGGGAGAAAGACACAAGCTGCTCTATACACACCGCACATATCCTGACCCTGTTTCTGTTGAGAGCCTGACTTCCTTTTTTCCCATGGGGCCCGGCTTGATACCATCAGCAAGATTGAGCACTATGCTAACAAGGCAAAAATAGAGAACTCGCCACTTCCATGTCCCCAAGTCCGGGATGTGAAACTGGGGCTTTGATTAGCTCTGGTTTAGATGCCAAGTTTGACAATAGCCCGTGACAACTTTCAGGCCCTCTGTGCATCCCTGTGTCCCTAGATTATATCTTAAAATATGTTCCTTAGAGGCCTGGGAATGTGGTTCAGGAGGTAGAATGCTTGCCCAGCATAGACAAAGCTTTGGGTTCTATTATTAGCATGTTGTAAAACAGAATTTTGTGGCACACACTGTAATCCTAGCACTTTGTGGGTGAAAGCAGGAGAATCAGAAATTAAAGGACACCCTCAATTACCTTGTAAGTTTGAGACCAGCCTGGGATGCACACAACACTGTCCAAAACCAGTTAAATATTAAAAACAAATTAGATTCCACTGGCTTAGTACACAGGTGGTTTGACAAAGACGTCAACCATAGAGGAAGCTGCACCTCTCTTTTTAACTAAGAAGTTGTGGGATTAGCAAGAAGTTCAGCAGGCAAAGGCCACTTCCCACCAAGCTTCCCTGCCCTGAGTTCAATCCCTGGAACTCACATGGTGGAAGAAAACCATCTCCCACAAGCTGTCCCCTGACCTCCACATGCATGAGAGTGTACTTATATCAGAGAGAGAGAGAGAGAGAGAGAGAGAGAGAGAGAGAGAGAGAGAGAGAAATGTAAAAATAAACAGCTCTAATTCAGATGAGAACTTCATTGTAGGGGCTGGAGAGATAGATCAGCAGTTAGGCGTTGCGGAGGACCAAGGTCTGGTTCACAGCACCTGCATCTTCTTACAACCATGGGTAACTCCAGTTCCAGAGAATTCAGCACTCTCTTCCGACCTCACCATCTTCTGACCTCTGAAGGCATTGCACTCATGTATGTGTGTGAATGTGTGTGTGTATACACACACAATTAAAAATGACAAAATTTTTGAAGAAAGCAGTTAAGATATTCTTTTATGTATGTGGGATATATTCTTGAATTGGGTAAATTGGGGAGTATAGAACAATTTTTCTGGATTTAATAAATAGTATCAATTATCAATTAACTGCTTGTTCCTTTCACTAGTGAAAAATATGAAAGGAAGCCCAAATCCACATTCCCATAGCATGATGCACAGTGAAGAATCAATCTCTCTCTCTCTCTCTCTCTCTCTCTCTCTCTCTCTCTCTCTCTCTCTCACACACACACACACACACACACACACATACATGTACATGTGCACACACAGCACACACATATGCACACACTCACCCATGTTCAGACACACACATACACATGAGCACATATGCATACATGCACACATGTCACATACACTCACTTGCACACATGTATGTATATACAGCACACACGTGTGCACACACATACACACACAGAGTCATCATGGTCCCTCCCACCACTCACCATTGAGTACTGGGGGACAATCCCATTGGCATCACCATGATAGATATAGACTGCACCAGCAAAGTCATCCTCCTTAGGTGCACCGACAGCCACATCTGAGGGGGAGACAGCTGTTAGAGACGCCATGGCAGGCTTTCTCAATTCCAGTCATCATGTCTGAATTCCATCTCTTCACAACCTCTCCACTAATCATTACTCAAACGTTAAATCGGGCAGATGGTCTCCTAACATTTAAAAGGTGGAAATTTACAAAGGCTGACGAGAGTTTACTCCCAGGAGAAGTGTCTCTCTTCATCTTCTGAGGGAAGGACACTGACGCAATCCATAAAAGAATCACAAATGAAGAGGACCGTCCTAATCTTTGTCTGTCAGAATTCTACAGACACTGGTTAGTGCCCAGAATCTTCCTTCCTTTCTACCCTTGGTTTCTAATAAGTCATATATCTGCTCCTCTGACACCAAGGGTGGGGGGTATGTATTCGGATGAAACCGAAGTGATAGCCTTCTCACACAATGAAGTCATCTGTGCTCAATGCTGTGAAGGACTGAAGGGCATCTGGCCTAAGCAAGCCACATCCCTACCCTGCAGTAGTGGCTCCTAATGTCTGTACACTGTACACAGTGAGGGGAAGAGATACTAAAACAACCAGAAAGAGAAGCCAAAAGGCTGTGGAGGGGACCATTATCCTAGAAGAAATGGACACTGGATACATATACCACCCATTCTTCTGAAACACAACGTACTCAACCAGGCTGATAGTATCAGGGAAGATAATATCTAATTCTCTCTGTGTATTCACTTCCCCAACAACATGACCGAGCATCCCAGATGCAGAGTCAATGTTTTGTGATGGGAAAAAGCCTATGGACCTGTCCCAGGCCACTGCAAGCACATATCACAGAGGGGGAGATGATGACAATGGATTACACAATAGGGGGATTCTGGTGGCCAGTCTATCTCTAAGAGTTGCCCTTTCTCCCTATGGGAGTTGCTGTACCTTCGGGTGTAGACTGGAAAATCCAGGAGCCAGTCACAAACAAGGGACAAAATTAGAGCGTGATAAGCTGCTGCACCTGGAGGGACTCCATGCCCAGAGAGAGGCCCTACTCACCTGGGAACCCATCATCATCAAGGTCACCCAGGCTGGCGATGCTCTCCCCAAAGTGTGCGTTGTAGGCAGCATCTCCGGTCAGGGTCATATGTTCCTCAAGGGCTCCCTGGGAAACAGGATGGAGTGGGGAAGGAGGAGGGGGACAAAAAAAAACACAATAAAAACTCAGAGCTCAGGACACTACCCTCTTAGGGTACAACCATGGACAGGAAACAGCTGGGCACGACCACAGGGACCCAAAGGCCTTTCACCTATACAACGAGAGTCTGGAATAGCCCAAGATACAGAATACTAGAAAGGTAATATCAGGTGGATTAGTAACTGATCCTGGTCAAATTCAGACAGGCAAGCCTACCCTCTCTTTGTCCCCACTGGGTCTTTCTTCTCAGCTCTCTTCATAGCCTAACTCTTCCCCCTCAAATCAGTTTTTGTTTTCTTTCAAGCAAGGTCTCACCAGGTAACTCTCACTAGTCTTTGTGTAGATCAGGCTGGCCTCGATCTCAGAGATCCTCCTGCCTCTGGCTTCTGAATGCTAGGATTAAAGGCGTGCGCCACAACATCTGATCCAACACTGTTTTAAAGTACAGCAGAGCAAGAAACTGACCTTTGTTCCCTTCCATAATTCCATACCTGACCTTTTAAGCCACCTCCCCTTTCCTGTGATTTTCTAAATCATAAGGCAGGGCGTCTCTGAAGGTCTCCTCTCCTCAGAGCAGATGAACTGACTGTGTTTGTCTAAAAGCAGGTGCACGTGATGGTTCAGGGCCAAGGTCCTGGGTCAAGTTCAGGAAGTGAGGAGACAGGCTCTGAGAGGAAAGGCCTCTGCAGCACACCAGTGTCCTGCCTCATGTCTTGTTGAAACTGGTATCTGATGTCTTTGCACTCTTTCGCCTCCCACCCCAGGATGTCAATTTGAGATTAAGAAGTCTCTTGCCTTTTCCTCAGGGATGGCCTTGAAAAAATCTATTTCCTCTCTCCAATTTCTGACTGGAGCTTTTGGTAGAGAGGTGAGGGGTGGAAACCCTAAACTCTGGTAGCCGAAGGAGTACACACCTTTCTACTTTCCTCTTTCTTGTGCCTTTTCCTATGAGTCCCCGAGGTTGCTTTGCATAGGACAGGCATTAGTAACCTTGTCAGAGGGTCATGTTTCTATACCCAGTACCTCTAAGGTAAAGGGTGTATCACATGTGTCTCAGCTTTGAGATTCCTGGGCAAACACTGAGAGGTGTCAACAGTGTATATGGCAGCAGAAGTCATTTGAGAATGTTCATGGTCCCCATGAAGCACTGACATAGAAATACCAGGATATTAAAACACCTGGCATCTTCAGGCTTAAGTATCATTAAACCTCCCCGGTGTGGAGGTGCTTTGGACCTACTGCCTCCCACAGTCTACCGCACCATGGTCTGTCTTTTGTTGTGACTACGTTTCTACACTATAAACAGAATTCACATCTTGAAAAGAATACATAAAGATGTGATGATTTGATTTATTGAATCAGTGAAACACAAAAATGGTTATCCCTTGGTGTCTGGGAGTACTGGTGTCAGGACCTCTAGTTTACCAAAACTTTAGATGTCCAGATTTCTTATATAAAACAGTGCATTGTTTGCACAGAACCTATGAATGCTCTCCCCTGTCCTTAAACGATGTCTAGATTACTTACAATGTCTGATACAATGCAAACAATATGCAAATTGGTTTTACATCGTTCAGGGAGTAGCAGCAAGGAAAGTCCAAGCATGCTCAGTTGGACACAATGGACTTTTTGTCTCTGTGTGTTCAATTTGTGGTTGGTTAAATCCAAGAGCCCTTGGACACAGATGGCCAACTATGTAACTCTTCCTGTTAGTGTGGTGGGGGAAATCCCAAGTCCTTCTGTGTCTATCTACCCATCCTGTTTAGAGCATATGACTTTGTAGAGAAGGAAATGGGGGATCAATCTCAAGCTACTTTCTCATCCTTTGCATAAAAGATTTGGCAAGGTTTAGATCTGACTCAGACCTACCTCCATCTTCGCTCCCCCATAGTGCCAGGGTTATGGATCACTAGAAACAAGACTCTGGTGCACAGTGTAGTCATGTGGGGCATGTGAGCTTGAACACTTGAATTCTGCTTTCTCATGGGCCCCCTGCCATTTCTGGTTGCTGCTCTGCCATCTCTCTCAAGACCCCATCCACCCTCCCTCCACCAGCTGCAGAGGGGCGAGAGGCATCTTTGCGTCAATCTCTCTCCTTTGTGGTTCTACAGAATAAGGGACATTGTGCTTACAGCCCTTGGCTAGTTTATTAGCTGGTACCCAGCATGAACTCCTTGCTGAACTAGGTAACGCTCCTACTACCTCACTGCTCAACCAGCATGTGCATCTGTTGGAAGCTCAGGCCCAGTCCACTTCACCTTTCCACTCAATTCCTACCGATTCCTCAGAATTCCACGAAGATATCCTACCTCCCCTATCCTCTCCAGAAAGATGCATAGAAACTCTCAGAGGTGGTGCAGCCTAGAGAAGATGAAGGCAGCTGGCTGAGGCTCAAATCCCGGCCTCATTACATTGTAGCTGTAAGGTTAGAGACAAGTGAGCTAACCTTTCTGAGCCTTGGTTTATTTCATCTGAAAAACCGAGAGCCTTACAACTGTGTGTACATCGCAGTGACATCACTTAGAGAAAGCAGGAAAATCTGAAACAACATCCAATAGTCATAAGCCTCTCCCTGGGTCCCACACTTTGAAGTGTCACACTGTATATAATTGTCCACTAGTGGATAATTAAGCTTTTCCATGTAGGATCCAGACCTTCATCTCTTCTAGGTAACATGGCCCAATGCACGCTTTCCCTCTGGTGGGGTCCATTGGGCGCGTGTCACATGACTGCACAGATGTTTCTTCCCCGACACCTTCATTGCCCACTTTTTACTCACGTGTCCTTGGTTGAGGTAGACGGTAACCTGCCCCTCATCCCTGATCTCAGAAAACATGGGGGCCCCCACGAGCAGGTCAGAGAGTCCGTCCATGTTCAGGTCGACTGCACACAAGGAGGAGCCGAAGTAAGAGCCCATCTGTAACCAAGTCGTCATGACAATGTATTCAGGGTCTGTCCTTACACACCAAGGCCCTTGCTTCATCAGCCCACTAGCTTAGGAACCTTGTCCCCAGCTCCTCAGAAGCTGTGTCAGCTGAGCAATGAGCACATACCCAGATCCTGAGGACCTCCCACACAATGGGAGACCAAAGCTAGCCGGCTTACAGGCCCCTTTCCTAGAGCCCTGAAAGGGACAGGTAAGTAGGCCAGTCCCCAGAGAATGAGATGCCATGTTTGTATATGTGCTCCAGATTCCAAACATTTGACAAAGCAAATCAAGTAGGAACGAGAAATCTTATAACACAAACAGGCAGGAAAATATGGCATGAGGCACATGTCCTCTCCAGCCTTCCATAGAGTAAGAGATGAGGCACAAACTGGCATGACAGAAGAATATGTAACTCAGGCTGTTTGACAGGTAGGGACACAGGGCCCATTTGTACCGGATCTTCTTGAATCAGAGTGTAATCAGTATCTGCTACTTTATTCGATGTTGTGTGTGCGTGCGTGTGCATGTTCATGTGTGTGCAGGTACATACAGCCGTCTCCACCTCCCCAGCCCCGAGGTAACAGGAGCATGGCACCACTCTTGTCTTTTCCACATGATTTCTGAGTGATCCAAGGATCACACTCTCCTTATACAAGACTCTATCAATTGAGCCGGCTCCCTGGCCCCAGTATCTGTCATTTTCTATCCAAAGTCTCAAATACAAAGATGAAAGATCCAGGCTTTTGTCTGGATAAAACAAGTAAGAACTAGCAGCTCAAGTGTGCTTACATGAGCTGAGTGGTGTCTGAGTCGAAACCATGTATCTAAATCATGACACTGAGTGCGGGAGACCACAGCAACCTGGAGCCCAGGGCCGACTGAGGTAGCAGCCCTACCCAGCTGTGGCTGACTACCATCGCTTTGACTCCCAGCACATCAGCTTTTCCAAGAGAAGATCTAAATGTTGGCTGAAAGTACCTGTTACACATGCTGAGAATGGGTTCCTTTCCTTTTTTTAGACTAATTGCTATGCGATTGGTGCCCCAGGGCTGTGATCCCAGCTACTGAGAAGGTTGAGGTAGGAGAACCAGAAGTACAAGGACTTAGCAAGACCCTCCCTCAGAAGTAAAACAGGGGCTGGAGAGATGGCTCAGTGGTTAAGAGCATATCTGACTCTTGCAGAGATCCCGAGTTCTGTTCCCTACACCCACATTGAGCAGCTCACAACCCCTCTACCTTCAGTTCCAGGGGCATGTGACATCACCAGCTCACAAGAGTACCTGCACTCATGTGCACACATCCACACACATGAACACATAGTGTAAAAATATAAAAATAAAAAAAATTAAAGTAATGATTACAAAAGAACTAAGGATATAGCACAGTGGTAAGAGAGTGTTGCCTGGCAAACGAGAGATCCTAAGCTAATATGCAGTTCTGTGATACATGTAAAGGAATCCTGTGCATGTCAAGCAGAAGCATGCAGCTGTGCCCACCCTAAAGGGCTGCGGGTTTGAAACCCCTTCTAACAAAAAGAAAAGAGAATATACTATTGTTTTTAAATAAATGCTTTCAAATGGAAAGACCTGGAATGTTCTCTTGCTTGTGAGACTTGTTGGCGGCCGACCTCAGGGAGTTTGAGAGAGGCAAGAGAGGCAGCCTACTTCCAGCAGTTAACACTGGCCCTGGAGGACTTGGGAAAGCTGCTTAGAAACCCAGGCAAGGCGAGAAGAGCAAAGCCAACAGCTGTTCTTTTGGGCTGAGCCCCAGGAGACGATTAGCTTAATCCCAGTGGGCTATTTAGCTTGGTGTCTTCATGGGTGTTCAATCAAAAATCCTTCAGCTTTTAAAATGCAGGGCAACTTTACGCACTGATGTAAGCCGATGACACTTTTGCATGTCAAGGACCCGTTCTGGAGCCAGAGTCACTTAACTGGAGATCCTCGTTGGCTTGGAGTGTGTCTGTAGTCACATCTGAACCACAGACTCAGTAATGGCTCTTGTGTTTATTGTTTGTAAGGTGTCAACCCGATGATTAGACCGCTTTTCTATTTTTTTGTGTTAGTTTTCTTTCTTCCCGAAAGGGAGCCAGGACACCAGACCAACTGAACTGAAATGGAGCCAGACAAAAGCAGAAGTACGGGTGGCTTTCTGATTTGGAACCTCCTGTTGTCTTTGTAGCCCTGAACCAAAGGGCAAAGCGAGAGGCAAAGGGGGTCATGTCCTCTTCCTACGAGACAATGAGGAACAGGGAGCTGAGAATCTCTTGTAGCAATAAGCAGAAGGTGTCTACAGAGTGGAAAGGTTTATGATGTAGGGGTAGCTCCAGAGCAGGGCAAAGGCTCTGCAGAGAAGAACTCTATAGAAGGGGGAAGGATGGTGCCCAGGAGATGGTCCAGGCAGTAAAGTACTTGCTATGCAGCATAAGGAGCTGAGTCTGAGCATCTATAATCCGGGGACTGAGGAAGCAGAGACAAGTGGGTCCCTGGAGCTCACAGGCCAGCCCGCCCAACTGAGGGCCTCTCTCAAAAATAAGGTAGAGAGTCACTGAAGAAGACATATGCATGCATATACATACATGTACACCAGCATGCATGCATGTGCATACATGTGTACATCCACATTAGGGAGACGGCTGTGGAGCTGGGGTAAAGTATCTTGGCCCTTCAGTCTCCTCTGCATAGAGGGACCTGACTCAGACTATCATAATGAGGCCATTCAAACAGACCTGTGTCCGCCCTAGAGCCCAATGCATTGGCTCCTCAGGCAGCTTAGACAAGGGTTCTCGAAGGCTACAGCGTTCACTTTCACGTCATTGCCCAAAGCTGAGTCACTGAAGCACAAGTGGTCAGGGAAGCCGCTCTCCAGACCTAATGATAATAGGACACTCAGCATACAGCACGGAGGCGGGTTCTCGTCCTGCAGCCACTCTGAAAGGATGCTCACACCGCCAAGTGTAGGCACATTATCCACAGTGGACCCCACAAGCCATTCATTATACGATCCTCACCCTTCCTTGGGTTTGGGGGGGGAGGCTCTTTTTTTTTTAATATAAATCACAAATAGTATGTAGCTATCTCTTCTCTAACCTTTAGGGTTGCTTAGAATGTTTATTTTGCAAATTTTTTCACGGTTACTTTCTGATGCTGATATTTTGGGGTTTGGAAATGTTAAAATAACACATACCGCCAGCACACTTCCGAGGGTGAAAAGCAAAGCTGAGTTTGTGGGTACATTTCAGGTTTGTGGGTGCATTTTCTTCATGCAAAGGTTATGATCACTATATACCGAGTATACATATTAAAGCTGTTACAATTGCAGCCATAAGAAACAATCACAACTATATGTAAGTGAGGGTTTTGGAACTCCAAATAACCATTCACTGTTGGAACGCCATGAAATGTTTCCAGGCTGCTGTGTAGAAAGAATAGCTCTGAGCAGGAATGAAGCAGGAACCAAAGGAAGCCGGCCAGGCAGGAACAATCATTGTTTCCCCTCGTCTCAGGGAAACTGTGGGCAAAGCCTCCTGGCATCTCCCTCCCACATTTCATGCACCCTCAGCTTTATCCCAGAGCCAACGAAAGCCTCCAACAGCCTCCATATAATCCCACAATCCTCCTGGCCTCAACTTCATCCTACTGAGCCCCTATCCTCAGCCACACCTTCCTGCTGATCTAAGCTACAAAAGCACAAGCAGGACAGGAAGCCCAGGAAAAAGGAAGTGAATGAATCACCAAGTTAATCTTTTGGGTTACAACTGAAAGTTTCAGGAAACAGGGAAGGAGATAGGCATGGCAGGGTGTCCCAGGTAGAAAACCTTTCTCCAAGACAGCCTTTGGAAATGCCTTTGTGGTTATTGTATACTCAATGTTCTAAGAAGACAAAGCCGTTCCCCAAGAAGTTTATATCTGAGGATGACAGGATAGAGTTACAAAATCAAACTAACAGATAAAATGTTAAACCCACCTCACAGTGTTTTAAGGAACTCTGTAATTTTGCACTGTACCGAGTTTACGACTAGCCCGTGGTGCGCACAGCCCAGAGGTTGTAGGTTGAACATCCCTGTACATAGAACTAAGGTGAGTTTTATTTGAATTTTCTTTATGTGACAGCTGTCCCCCTGGTATGACAATGATGTGAGGAGACAGCATCAGGCAGAGACAGGCGCAATGAGAAACATTCATCCACCTGCGCCCCTTGAAAGCGATTGCTTCTGTACCTCCCCTTGATGGTACGGATCTTCGTGGGTTGGAAATGTGCGTTCATGAGACAGCCAGAGGGAGAGAAAGCTGAGGGGCAGAGAGACAGCATGCCTCATTTGCATGCTAGCTCCTGGACAGTGACACCTTTTGTTTGTAGCTTAACCATGTAGAAACTCACCTGCTACATCTCCTCAGGCGAGCAGAAACCCTAGGTTATACACATCCTCAAGGGGAACTGACCCCCACATGAACGACATTAAGAACTCACCTTTTTCCCTGATGCCTGAAAGATCTTTATTAAGGTCCCTGATCTTCGGTCAGCTCTAAATATATAGACCTATAGAATAAAAAAAATCCTAGTCAGAATGAAAGCTCTGACTAAAGGTATTCATCACTGTCTTCCTGTTGTCTCCCACAGATGTTTACACATGGGTTAATGATAACACAGGTCCAGACAGAACTCTCAGCGACTTGCTAAAAAAGCGTCCCTCAATCCTGGATCGCAGAAAGGATCTCCACAGCTCCTGAACCACACAGTTTGTAGAAACCATGCACAATAAGGCCCAGAAGTCTCCCCAATTAGAACTAAGTGATTCAACCCTCAGGAGATAGACAAGCTTTCTCTTTAAGTTAACTCCTTCAGTCCTGGGAGCTAAGCTTTAATGGATGGCAGAACCTAAGACAAAAGGGTGAATTTAGCACTGGAGATAACCTCCCAAAGTGATTTCACATATGATTTAGAATTATGGAATCTGTATGAATAAACATGTGCTCAGTTTGAGGAAATAAGTAAGTAAACACTAAATAAATCCCTTTATTGTGGATATTTTTCAGAGCCCTTAGCACTATGAATTTTGCCTGCATGTGATATGTACATTACATGGATGCCTGCTGCCCAAACCCTGGAACTTGAGTTACAGAGAATTGCGAGCCACCAAGTGGGTGCTAGGAACCTTACTCTGGTTCTCTGCAAGAACAAGTGCTCTGAACCCCTGAACCATGTCTCCAGCCCCTTGGGTTATAACTCCTTCAAAAAGTATTCCTATTCTCTCTCTCTCTCTCTCTCTCTCTCTCTCTCTCTCTCTCTCTCTCTTTCTCTCTCTCTCTCTGTGTGTGTGTATGTGTGTCTCTGTCTCTCTCTCTCTGCGTGTGTGTCTGTGTGTGTGTCTGTGTGTCTCTCTGTCTGTCTCTCTATCTGATTCTCTCTCTCTCTCTCTCTCTCTCTCTCTCTCTCTCTCTCTCTCTCTCT